TGTTCATCAAAGAGTCTAAAACCCTAAGAACCTTGGTTTAAGTCCATATTGGACTAGGATTCCTTATTGGGCCTAATGGACAAATAAGCATTCAACTCAACTATTTTGGGCTTGGAAATCCTATTTAGATTATAAATGGACCCAAATTCACAAATCTAAAACATTTTGGACCATTTGGGCCTAGAATGATTCATTCTAACCCTAATGGGCCTTATTGGGCCATAACTAATCCAATTAACCCTAGTAAGCCATAAATCCATTCTTTTATGCCATTTTGGACCGTGAACTACCCTAAAGGCCCAATGGGCTGAAAACTTCTCTATGGGCTTTAAAATTTCGAGTGAAGACCAAGATTGGGCCCAAATTAATTCACTTCCTCCTTCCTAATCCAATTCTCGGCCCATCATCAAAAACAAAAACAAAAAAACAAACAAAAAAAAAAGAAATGGCTAATTATCCAAGCCATGGCACCTCACTAATACATGGAGGTAATCCATGCAAATTACCCTCTAAACAAATACCCAATCCCATACATCTATGCACCTATCACATTTTAATCTCTCTCCCCTCTCTTTTTTTCTTCCTCTCGGCCGAAGGTAAGCACACACACACACAACATCAAACTCTCTCAAACACTCACAAGAAATACTCCTTCCTTTCCTCTCAAATTTTCAAAGATCTAGGGTTGATCAAGAAGATTTCCACCAAAAATCATCATTTTCTTGGTAAGTCCTTACATATCCAAGTTATATAACTTCATTCTCATGTTAGATCACTCATTCTAAGCAAAATTTTGGTGATCATACTCCTAGAAACCTCCTAAGTTCAAGATCCACTCAAGAAAGCTTGTTAGGACTAAAAATCTATTCATCTCTTCTTTAAAACCGAAAAATCAAAGCAAAGGTGAGTTCATATCCCCTTGTTTTCGGTTTTTACATGATTTATGGGGGAGAATACAAGTAAAATGTGTAGATCTATGTGTTATATGCATGTCTTGTGTGATTTCTTAGTTTATTTTGTAAAAATGTGTTAGATCTTAACAAATCTCGACACCTTAAGTAACATTGAGTAAAGATCCATGAACTAAGATACCATATACATCATATTATCAAGTTAAAAGTGTTTATATGTTGAAGATATAAAAAATTTAAGGCAAAAACCTTGTTAAGGGTCAAAATTGTCAAGAAAACAAAAGATAAGGGCAAAAAGTGACATTTATGTTTTTATAAGGATCAAACAGGTCCTACTTGTATAAAAATGGATTTTTATTATAAACATTCTTTCCAAAGGGGCAAAAATGTAAATTTTAGCTCAATGGGCCAAACATTTGGGCCTCACGGTTTTGGGCCCAAATTTGCGAAAAAATGAAAGTTTTGGGATTAAAAATGTTATTTGACCAAAGTTTGAGTCATAAATGTAAATAAACCAAATTTAGGGGGTGAAAATAACATTTATTTCTAAATGGGACCAAAAATGTAACTTTTATCAAAATTGGGCCGGAAGTATCAATTTTTACAAACAAGGGGTTGAAAATGCACTTTTCGGCAAAACTGGGCCAAAAATGTCAAAATATAAATTTTTGGACTAAACCCGTGAATTTCTAAACATTTGGGACGAAAGTACAAATTTTTATAAATTATGGACTAAAGTGTTATTTTTACAAAACTTTGGGCCTTAATTGAAAATTTGAGGCTTATTGACCAAGAACGTCGTTTTTACAAAAAAGAAAACTTTTTAAAATCAATTTGGTAAACCTCGAGTTAAATATAAATAACGAAACAATAACGAATGGACGAAATACATCGATAACAATTTTATTGGGCCTAATATTCAATTCACATGGTCAATGGGCCTTAAAGGCCCATTCAAGTGTATATTGAGCCCAATATCTTCCATGACATGTTTATTGGGCCTTGTGACCCATTTAGATGTTAATTTGGGCCTGAGCTATGGGTCACATATTTGTTGGGCCTCGGTGGTCCATTTACATGTCTAATGGGCCCAAATTACCCTCTTACATGTTATTGGGCCTTTGTGGTCCATTCAAATGCTAATTGGGCTTGGACTGAATTTCACATGCTTAGTAGATTGTAACTCTATCCCTTACATAATTATTGAACTTCGTATACTTATGTATGTATCTTTGGATATGAAAACATGCAACATACACGTAAACATTAAACATAGTGAAAAACATAACGAACATGAAAGGTTGAGAATCTAGTGAGACTTGTCGGTTGGCACCTTTGAGTGTATAATCGTAGCATGTAGTTATAACCAGAGTTTCCTGGAGAGAGAGCGGGAGTTTGTGTATAGATCTATACGGAGTGACCCCCCCATGCGTTAGCTATTCACTACAGCTAGACTAGGTCAGTCTAGGACGACAAAACCTTGAGCAAATATCGGCATTTGGAAAAATGCCAAGACATGCAACCTAGTCATTATCATGTATGGTTATAACGGCTCATATAGAGATCCAATACCAATTTAACATTTCGAAGATTAACTCTTCGATTATGTCAATACGAAATAACTTAAATTAATGATCTAAGAACCTCGACATTATTATAAATCAGAAAATATCGGATTTTCTGGAGAAATACTATTATTCAATTATCACTTACTTACAATACAAAGAAATCTAAACTGCATTCATATATGTTACTACTACGAAATTCACACATGCATCTATACTTGATTTTCACATCATTTTCAGACACTTTATAGAAAATATCGGATTTTCTGGGTTTTTACAAAAGATACAAAGACTTTTATCTAAACATACTTATGAACTCACCAACATTATATATGTTGACCGTTTTCAAAATAACTTGTATTCTTAGGTAATCGTTAAGCAGGAAGATTTTCAAGTGTGTATGGATTTATTTTGTGTAACATCACTCATCGTACTATTAATACTTTGAATTTATGTAATTTATAACATGTACTTGATGTGAACAATGTTGGTTGTTATATGTAATGTTGGTGATGAATGTGTTATGTTTCATGTATATTCATTGTGATGATAATTCAATTGTTAGTCACACGATCCCCCGGACGTTTCCGCCGTCTGGTTCGGGGGTGTGACAAATACCTTCCCTTCCACTAGTATTGATCTGCAACCCTCCTGTATTACGTGTTTCAGTCTCAATCTTCTCCTCCATACCCTGATCCGTTACTGCTAATCTCCCCCGTAGAAGCATGCATTACATATACGAAGTCGGGAAGGATTTCAAATAGTGAGAACATATGAAATGATATAAACCTGATGCAAGGTGTGAGAGAGCTTGAGCGAAGATGATAGTAAATCGATACATTATATTATCTTTAGGCACCGTCCTCTCCCATTGAACCTTGTTATCGGGAACACATTAAAGCAATAGAAGATTCTATTTTAAACATTTGTTTCCTTAAATCAATTGGATTTTGACTTTATTTTCCAAAACTACCATATCTGCATGTGTCAGAGTTTTCTGGCAAGATTTTATGTTGGTTCTACATGTTTTAGTGTTGATATGGCAGAGTTTTCCGGCAAGTTTTTATGTTGGTTCTACATGTTTTAGTGGTGATGTTCATATGTCAGAGGTTATAATGGTGAAGGTTGTAGTGGCGATGGGTTGCAGTGTTGATGAGTGGAGGACGGTCATCGACGAATGGGTGATAGGAAAGGGATAAATGAAGATAAACGACACTTTAGGTTTGTACAGGTTGTCAGGGTTATCTTGTTCAACTTGAATCTTGTTTATTTGGTAATGGGAATTCGCAACCATCTTGGTGGATCAGATTCAACCATCACCGCCTTTAAGCACTTTTTGTGTGTTGTTCGAGGTGGTAATTTTACCCAATAAGAACATTGAAGTTCTGAGCGACGAGTAGTTAGAAATCTCTAAATGTGGTCCTGATATTCCCATCACTTATAAAACTAAGAGCAAATTACGATATGTGCATCAAATGCACAGGTTACCCCAAACCAAATGAATCATTGATGTAATTTACTCTAGAATTTATTTTGTATGAGATAACCATTAAAGATTCCAAGGTTTCTTTCAAATTATGTATTTAATTTATCAAATTGCATCTTATAGGCAACTTGTATAAATACATTAGATTTAAGCCCCCCAACTTACACATAAATATCATATTCATCCTAATACATATAATAAAGTCTAGAACACATAACATATAATTGTAACTAAGTAACCAACACATAAAAATTAATAGTCCAAAAGCAACGAGGTTCTAAAATGGAAGTTACATTCATATCAAAAGAACTTTTCGAACAACTTATTCCACTTGTTTTGGTATTGATATTATGGCTTCATAAATAAAATATTATTATTATTATTATTATTATTATTATTATTATTATTATTATTTATTTAATTTTTGAAAATAATTATTTGTATGTTTTTGTCAATTAATGTGCGTGGAACTCAAATATGAGGTCCAGAGTTTAAATCTTAATATATCCAAAATGTTACTAATTTTCTATGATTATCCATATGATCGATTATCAACATGTTTTATGATTTATCCATATGATCGATTTTATCTAGGTGAGTTATTCAAATTGTACAATTTACTATTATCTTTATATATTTAGTTTTTGATTTGGCTTCTCTAATCTCGGTTTCTATCATTATAACCAAACAAATATAAATTATATTTTTAACTTGTGTAACATGTCGATTCATTTGGATTATAGTGCTAACGAATAATCAAACACAAAAACTTGTTTCAACTTGAACAAATCCTAATCCAAGTCTTTTAATATGTTTTAATCATAAACTAATTTGGCAATTAAGCTAGAAAACAAAAGACCCCACGACACCAACCAAACCAACTCATAGCAGGACATGCGTTGATAACGAGATTAACGACCTGAAACTTTCCCATTTTCAGTAAATCAAATCTCAACCGTTGATTTCTGATCATCTTGACCCCCTTCTATATTTCCCTTTTGTTTTCAGCAATTATTTTATTATAATAAAAAATCATTATTGCCTTTTTAATGGAGATCAAAGTAAACGTACAGCTCCATAGTCCATACACTCTCTCCCCCAAATCCTTCATTCTTTCTGATCTCTAGGGTTTCTGCATAAATTCTCTCAAACTCTCTTTTAGAACTCCCCCATTCTTGATTTTAACTTCTTCTTCTTTTTTCCTTATTTGCGTATTAACCCTAGATTCTTTTCGTCTTTCATACTTTATACTTTCTGGGTTTGATTGAAAGAGTCAAACTTTCATGTTGTTGTTGAAATCTGTTAGACTTCTTGATAGTGCCGTTTTGGGTGCAATTTGATTGGAGTAATTGTGGGTTTCTTCAATGCTCTCTTCCTCGATAAATTGACGTTGACCTTTTGAGTAATCAAGACCGATTCGTATTTCATCGTTACAAAACTTGCAACTTACTCAAGTTTCAAGCTGAAATCGGTAGTCTTTTGATTTCAGCAACTGGATTCAGATTTGCGATGTTTTTGGAGTTGAATTGAAGTTTTGTTAGGTTGCGATTCGGCATACATTGTTTATATGTAAATGGATAAATCCGGAGTTGAATCGAAGCTTATGGAAAACGGAAATCAAGAACGAGATGTAATGAATGGAGAAAAAGTAGAAGAAGATGAAGAGGATGAATCGAAGAAACTTTTATTGCCTAAAAAAGGCGGGTTATCCAAAAAATCAGGGAAGAAACACAGAAAAGTGCAGTGGAATGATAGGAATGGACATGATCTTACAGAAGTTTTGGAATATCAACCAAGGTAAATGCAACTTGTCCCTAAATCGCTTCGTTAAATTCTTTACCATTTTATCAACGAATTTATAATTTGTGGAATATAAGAACATTGAATCGAGATTTGTATGATATATATATAAAGTGCTCTTGTTGGATTTGGTTAGGTTTCATAGTTAGATCTTATTAAGCCAATATTGTTCTTGATCATGTGTTTTAGTTCTTGAGTTGCTACTTTTAAGAAAATTCCTATTGCTTAAAGATACGTTTTTTTTTTTGCACACCCAATATATATATATATATATATATATATATATATATATTTTGGCTATGTTACTGATTAGATCCGTGTTACGTTTTTTATCTTAATGAAATTGTTCTTCGGATGTGCATAATGTAATTAGTGGTTTGTGGGGTGCAAAATCCACTAAGAAGGTCAAACACCAAACCACTTTAGACTCCAAATTTCAACATTCTAAAATGATTTTAGCCATTTGATTTAGAGATTTTTATTAGACGCCCACTTGAAACTAATTTTGTATTCTTTGATTCTTTTGTGTTTGCAGTGAGGTTAGTGATTCTGAAGATGATGAGTCGGATTCTTGCATATGTAACATAATGTAGACTTTACATGCAGCCAACAATCATGGCTAGATATACCATTCGACTAATCTTGGAGGGATTTTGTCGAATTAAAGAGTTGTTGATTGAATTATGAATTTATGATATTATATTGTTAATGTATTTGATATGGAGCCAAATTATTGTCTCCTTTACTTGGAATTTAGATATGGCATCAAACTTGCTTCTTGTATACAGTAATTTTTAAGTCATGAAAGTTCTAACAGTGTAAACAATAATTTCAGTTTTATTCGCCCATGGTAACATACTATAATATGTTAAAGTGATTTTGTTGCGTATGTGGTTGCATTTACTTCGAAAATTTTCTGTAGCATTATGTCCATGTGGCGTGTCCACATGGACATTGTGTGATTAAAATTTGCCAATGAGGATGCCATGTAGGAATCAAAATATGACTTTTAAAATATAATCATAAACTCAAATGTCATCATAGATCTTTTAATATTATGCCACTCCATATTTTAGATCTTTTAATATTATGCCACTCCATATTTTTTGTACTTTTGTTCAAAAGTTTAAAGTCTTGAATTTTAATTTTGTCATCAATATCAAATTCAAAGTGATATGTATTTCAAAGAAAGAATTAATAGTATTGTTTTATTTGCAAGTGAAAAGGTATTTAGGTTGCTTTTTGACTATTGTATGTGTTGATTACTAACATAAAAAAATTAAAAAAAAACAGCTATCTAGTTATTACATTTTTAACAGGTGAAACTACATTCAAATATTATCTGTTCATCTTCAATAGTTTGTTTTGTTATAATTAATTATTTTATTTTAATTATTTAGTATTACTTATTATTTTTGAAGGACACATAAAACGCCTCCTTATTTATGAATGACTTCCTTGATTTATGTTTATGTATAAAATATTATGTATGCAATTTAAAAACATTGCAAATAGTCATATGGGTCGAAAGTTACCGAAATGTATCTTTAATGCAAAACCTTTGTAAAGTAATTTATTAAAAAACATATCATGATTGTAAAATATAGGTTTTGTACATAGATATGCTAATAAGCTTAATGTACATATTTGGCGGGTTTGAGTAATAAGAATCCAACACGGCTTCATTTGTCAATTTTGTGCCCGTTGTGTCATGAGATGGGGTGAACAAACCGGTTTTTTTTTCAAACCGAACCGGTTCGGTTCAAACCAGTTCCGTCATAGAAAAACTCGAACCTATCTAAACCGGTTACACCGGTTCTAAACCGGTTCGATCGGTTTGACTACCGGTTCACGGTTATTAAACCGGTTCTAAACCGATTTCAATGTCTAAAATCTCGAACGGGTGCAAACCGGCGGTTCCGTTCTTAAATCGGTTCAGTTTTTAGTGAACCGGTTTGGATCCTGAACCGGTTTTTTTGTGCAAGCCTAGGTGAGAGTGTTCATGTTTTGTTTTCTTACCCCGTTGATTTCAGGTCTTTGGTATCGCCTTATAGGATGGTGGAGATCTCCGGTCTTTGGTTTTCAAGGTGTTGCTTCGTTGTTTGTTTGGGTCTATAGTATCAACTTAATCGTTGTTCAAAGGCAGGTTCTTGAAACAGTTTTTTAGGGCTATTTGGCATCTTTGGAATTTTCAGAATAGGGTTATTTTCGCTAAGGAGAAACCCAAAAAGAATGAGAATTTTTATGACATTGCTCGTTTTTTTCTTTGGATTTGTAATAGGCATAAAAAATTTAAAATGTTATGGGATTTGTCGTTATCAAATTCCAACTTAGTTGTTGCTTCTTTGTAATTCTCTAGCTACTTGCTAGTTGTTTTTAATAATATTGTCCGTTAAAAAAAGATATGCTAATAAATTATGAATATGAAGAAAATATCTATTTATGACTATATTGTCCTAGTCCTCATTCAAGAAACCCTATTAGTACTATGTTGTTTGGGGCTTGAAATTTTGAGTATTAAGTGTGAAATCTATACTAAATTATTAATAGAAATAGGTTTAAGGTGTTTAATTCTACAACCGAGTGTTAATGAAATATTTAAGATGTACAATTTAAGATTTAAATAATAAGATGGAATTACGGTATTAGGTTAGTGGGTATGAGTCAATTCTCATTATTTTTTTTATCACATCATCTGTCGTAGCATTCTTAATACCACTCTCTTTTAACTAGGAAACTGTCAACACACACCACACCATTTTAATTTTCATGTCATTTTTTTTCGTATTTTAATAAATAAACAAAATAATTTTATAAAATATAAATTATAAAGCATAACATTTAAATAAAAACATTATATTTTCATTGAAAATAAAGATATTAGAAGATACTAAAAAAAGTTACTATAAATAAAAAACATACTAACGATAACTAATTTAAAATTTGCCCATGATCTTTTTTCTCGAATATTTGACTTCACCGATAGCAAAAGTTTAGGATCTTCGACATTAAACTTTCGGTGCTCGTTCTTAGAATTGTCAAGTCATTGAGGAGTTTTTGTTGGTGTTGGAGTGCTTCTTCTCTCTCTCGTCGTTCCCGTTCAACCCCTTCTTGTCGTCGGAGAGTTTCTAAGTGCTCGCGTCTCAATACATATTTCTCTTGTTGAATTTTATTTGGTCCTGGAATTTCTCTTATATTTCCATCATGTGCTTCAATTTCCTTTCACTATCCTCCATATGTTTATCCGCTCGCTTCACATTGTCCCTTCCTATTGGTCACCGATGAGGGGAAACCTCTGCAATGTCATCCAAAATTTTATCCGTCTCGACGTTAAGGTCGATGTGAGTTCATGCATCGGAAACATCGACCAAACTCGTATTTCGCGACCTCTTCGATCGTGTTTCCAATGACGTAACACAGTAAGTCCATTTTGGATCTTTTCTCATAATCTCCCATAGTTTCTTAAAATTGAAAACATGGCTCATCTCCAATTTATATTGCACCTATATGGGTTTAAAAAATCGAAGTTTGTGCTACTGTTTTCTTTTTTCAAATAAAGCTTATTGTGTATCGTGTTGAATTTGGTACACCACCTGTTTTATTTCTCGCCATTTACCACTTAAGGCGTCAATGTTGCCGTACAAACTTTTCTTTAGCTTAGCATGAAACTTTTGGAGGGCCCTTTCAAAAAACATTTTTCTTCATACCATTTCATTCAACGTTTTTTATGTCACACACCACGATTCCGCTAACACAAATTTCCTCCTCTACCATCCATTATGGACTACTATGAGTGTCTTTGGTTTTCCCTTTGCCTTTTCTGTAACATTCCGTTTGAAATTAAATAAATAAGATTTATTAAAATAAGTAAATAAATAATAAACCCTAAAACCCCGAGATGTGAATTATATTTCTATATTATTTTATTGTAGCCTTAAATCCATAATAATTTATCAGTGTTAGCCATGGGAGTTAAATGTTATAATTTCGGGAATTTGGAGTCTTAATTGTATCAATGGTACTTGTATTGAATAGTTTTTGGGAAGCAGGGGCTAAATAGAAAAATATGGATTGGGATTGTCATGATTAGAGAAGGAGGGGTCGAATGTGTCAATAGAATGAAGTTTTAATTGGAGGCGGGGTTTAAGATCGCCACTTTCCTTCCCCCCGTCACATAGATCGAAACCCTAACCCTAAACCATTTTCAGCCGCCACCTTACCATCCTTGTCTCTCCAGTCGCCGTCTCCTCCATAGCTGCCACTGTGAACCACTGCATTTTCCTCGGCCGACATAGTGAATATTGAGCTGAAGTCACGTCTGTTAGGGAGGTCGGAAGACGACGACCGAAGTTGCTGCCGCCGCTGCACCATTACCGTTGAAGACGAAGCCATCGTTGGACGCCGCAATTGTCATGGTTGTTGTTCCGGTTCTCTTATTCTTCTCCACTTTTCTTCCACTTTTGAGTCGTTGCTGCCGCCCCGACGGCTGTTCCTTGGTCGCTATCTCATTGTTTGCTATATGCCACCGCGAGGGTGGCTGAGATTGGTTCAGGAATCTATCAGGCAGCAGCTGGAGTTTTATCCGCGGGACTTCAACAATGCGACGTGAGTTTTCTCACCGGGTTTAGCGGGTCGAATGCACTGTAACCCCCGTAGATCCAGGCTAGTCAATTTAAGGACAATGAGCGTCAAAAATGACTTTTTGATGGAAGGTTATTTGGAAGGAGTAATCTTAACTAAGTTGTAATATATGTTACAAGGATTCCGTACATGTAAAGAATTCCGAAATCCGATTTATAATGAAGAAGTTATGACCATTCGAAGTTTCGTGACAAAACCGACACGACACTGTGCAACGTAAATAGTGAATTTACAATAGAGCGATATTTGGCCTTAGCGATCTAAACGAAAGTCGTAGAATACGTTAAGCCGAGAGCGTGCATAAAAAGAACGTCCAAACTGATGTCGCGACTACGCACCTGATGACGACCAAGTTCACGACGTGAACAAGCCTGGTTCACGACGTGAATAGCGAAATTCAGCCCTATAAATAGAAATCGAAGGCAGCCGGTTTTGGTTGCTAATTTCTCAACCTCTCTCCTACTTCTCTCATCTTTAAGCCTACTTTTAACCCCCCCCCCCCCCCCCCGAAGTCCCGGTATCATCCTGATACTCGAAGCAAGTCCCGAAGCCCCGAAGATCCCGACAAAAAGAGTTTTCGAGCCGAAACTCTGACCGCGAGAAGCTCGGTTTTTGGAGAAAACATCCCGGTTTCATCGAAGAATATTGTTTTAAGGGACGAAGCGATGTCCCATCATCGTCTTATCATGTGAGTGTATAGTTACTTTCATCTTACAGATAGATATGAAGTATTGTATATAAAATGTGTGCTATGTGTATATATGTTGTGAAACATCCCAAAAATACTAGCCAAAAGTTTCGTTTTCAAAATCATTTAGCAAACATAACTATCATCGCCATAGTGTAAAACATAAAACATGTATCTCAGAATCTCATAAAATCTGTCAACATATCACAATCTCATATAACATATCAGAGTAACTCCCATGCTAAGAAAACTGTGGTGTGTGCCATGCCATTATTTCGAGCCCTTTCCCTTGCTAGCTGAAGTACCTGAAACCAAAACTGAAACTGTAAGCACGGAGCTTAGTGAGCTCCCCAAACTACCACATACCATACACATAAGATATAATAATCACATAACTCTGGGACTACTCCCAACTACATCGGGACGAATCCCGACATCGACTTACCCGACATCGGGCTCACCCCAACATCCGACCGCATCGGACATCGGGCTCACCCCGGCATCGCGCTTACCCCGGCACATACAC